CAACAGTGCTTTAATGAAGAAGAAAAGTTTAATGTCTGTTAGAAGGAAAGGTGTACGGCAGGAGGGGAGTCTGTGTCATTCTTATGTCCAGCTCAGAGCTTCAGTGGATGCCTTCTCCATCTTCTGCTGTGTGGATGCTATTATCCCTGAATTCATGGGTTGTTCCTTGTGACAGATGAGTGAAGACAGCAAATTCTGTGCCTGAGACTTGTTTGCTGTGCATACAGGGAACAGTGAAGTTGTAAAAGAAGGGGGAGGGGAGGGGCGCTATTTGACTAGATCATGCCTGCCTAGAAAAATAGAATTTTTAATGAAGTTGTAGTAGGTTCTGACACAAGTTTTGCTTAAAAGATAAGTAATTGAGCAAGAATTACCTTTAATGGCCTTAGTCACAGAGAAGAGTTTTTAAAAAACGTTTAGTACGCTCGTCATGTTGCTTAAAATCTTGAACAAGTCAACTGATTTGACAGCAATTTTCAGATATGAAAGAAGTCCTTGAGAAATGTTAAATTTTAAAATACATTTTAGAAGGCAACAATATGTACGTTCGTGCAGGTTTTCCACACAAGTGTTCTGGCTGGACTAGGAAGTCTGCACAGACTGTGGCCATACAAAACAGCAGTACAGCAAGCAAATCTGTTCCTAGTACATGCCTCTGAAGTATCTGGATGGGAGATAAGGAGAAGGTCTGTGAGTAAGCTTTAATAACAATCCACGTCTGTCCTTTTAACCGCACTGATGAAGTGAGATGGTACAAGTCATAATTCTTTCACTATTACCGGCACAGGGCAGGGAAGCCTAATATCTATTGCCTACTTTAGGTAAAACCTGGTTGAAAGCTACATCTCATCCTTTAAAAAAAATTAGTTTAGTGCTTACTGTTGCTATTTCTGAGACAATGTAAAATAGATGCAGATAAAGACTATTTATTAAAAATAACAAAGCATGGGCTAGTTAGTAAGAGGTTAGAAACAAAGCCCCTGAATACATCATGGAAGCGCATTTGATTTTTGAGCCTGCAGCCATTTTAACTGTTAGGTGCTGCCACCTTCTTGCACGTCAGCCCTCCTGCATTGCTTTTCCCTCTCCTGCTATGGACTGCTTTGCTGTTCTTCCCTCCATCTGCCTGCCTGTACTTGAGCACAGCTGCTCCAGAGATTGCTCCCATCTCCTCTACCATGTGCTGACATAATGCCAGTAAGGATTCAGTGCTCTTTTAGGTAGTACCTTGCATGTTAAGAACCCAAGCACTGGTATTTGCTTCCTCTTTTTCCTGTGCTGTATCTTCTTTCCTCCCTCCTATATCTTGATTTTTATCCTCAACAAATGTGAAAACACTTCTGTGAAACCTTTTGTGTAGCTGCTGCTCCTTGAGGGATCTCGTACACCCACTGTGTACACTTGTTTTCTTTCCCTCCTGCTGCCATAGGCTCCCCCTTTTCCCTCTTGTACTTGGCCTGTTGGCCATGTCTTTTTTTTTTTTTTCTTTACTGAAAGCTAGACTTGATTGCCTTCACTGTCATTCTTGACTAGGGAGGAATGACATGCCAGGATGATGGAAAAATCATCCTTTCCTTGACTGTGCTATAGTTGTTCATGTTTGCAATGTCCTGTGTTCATTTGTCTGAAGGGTTTTGGAACAAAATGCTCACTTGTTCTCATGTAGGACATATAAAACAAAACAGTGCTTTCATTTTAGTATGTTTCTGGAGGCTGGGATTTAAGAGAGATAGTTGATTTTGGGGGGAAAAGAAGGAGAAGGAATAAGTAATTAGAAGTTAAGAACAGCATTGTGAGAGGGTGGACATAAGTAAGGGTGCAGGTGAATCTCGGGGGGAGGTGGGCACTGCCTGAGCCTCAACATTTTCAGCAGCTTAGGGGCCTGTCAGGTATCTCTTAAGCTGAATATTAAAGAAAGGCTTCTTTGTTCCTGGGTTAGAAAGAAAAATGCATGATGGGATTATCAACAGGCATTGCTTCAGCTCAGGAAGAAGATGACTTGGTTGCTATGCTATAAACTAGAATTCAGGCAGACATCTGCTATTTTTCCCTTAGCCTAGGAGCTGCTTGTCCTCCCCACCTGCACGGTTTGAGACAAGACGTTCCAGTGTGGTACGGGAGTGGGTACGAGCATTTTCTAAACTCAGGGAAAAAAGGACAGGAGTTTTTATTGAACTGTTTGGAGGCTGATGGTCCTCCCCTAGCTACTCCGTACAGCACCAGCAGGATCCAGGTGAGACATAACTGAGACTAAAGCGAAATATTAGAGGGAAAAAAATTAGGATGGCATATTTGTGGCAACAACTGACACATCCTCTGTGGATCAGGGAACAAAGGCCGGTCTCCTGAAGTCTGGGACTGGAGCATTCATCATGGTACTTCAGGCCTCTTCTTACAAAGGGCACCTTGAGCTGTCTACGTCTTTGCAGCATAGAGGAGGGAAGGTGGAGGCTTGGAAGCGAGCTGAATTTTGGGTAGAGATCAGAGCAAGGACCTTTATCAGGAATGTGATGGGAACTGTCACCTCTCACTGAGCATAGTTAAATGCCTTATGAGAGTTGAGCGGACTGAAAGAGTTTTAAGGGCAGGAGGCAATTTTGACATTATTCTGGTGTTAGCAACTTATGTCTTAAAACAGCACATTTAAAAACACTGCTGCTAAATGGAGCCTGCCCAAAACATAGATGGAAATGAGTTCAGCCTATTGAAATTTTAAATGAAGTGTAGGTTTGCGCTGCTTTGTTGCCTCTTGCTGCAAAAGACATCAGCGCAGTCACAGGTGACTGTCTCTCCTAGAACTGAAGATCACTTTTTCCTCTAAATTATGCTCCATTTCACCACCACTCAAAGTGAAGATCACTTAAACAATAGGGGCTGTAAAAGAGAAATCCCAAATTTTAATAAAGTTGGTAACATCGGGTATAAATATTGCTCTCTTGGTCTTTGAACAGACATACTTTAAAGTAGGAGTAAGGCATTTTCTATAATGTGTTCCAGTCCCAAGAGATATCTAGGAATGATGAAATTCCATGGTTGTGTAAAATCCACATTAGTCCCTCCCAACTATTAATTTTGGCCCTAACATCCATTAATTAAAAGGCTTTTAAAAGCGACCTTTGAGCAATATGTGTTGTGGTAGTGTCATAAGGCAAGCCAGCTGGCCTGCAGGAACCCAAGAAGGCAGGAGAGCATGGAAGAGGAAGTTACCGGTAAAGAAAGCAAGATGCTCTCGTGGCCATCTTTGTGAACTCTTGGGGACTATGTTACAGCACATTATCTATTAGATTTCTCTTCCTTAATACAACACTTAATGAACCTTCTTGAATCTTTGTTGCAAATGCAAATAATTCAAAACCCGGGCGTCCCTGGGACATGAAAAGTCTCCAAGTTGCTTCTGGAAGCATCAGTGTGTATCACCCTCTTGAGTGTTGCAAATGCTCCCCACGTGCTGGCCAATTATTCCTCCTCCCTTGTGGCTTACTAATAACTCCCTTCTTCCCAACAGCTGCAGAGCAATGCATGGCACTGTCAGGCTTCACGAGATCTCTTCTGCTCTGGGTTGCACAGGAAAACACTACACTTGCTTTGCTGAAGGAGAAAATGGGAGGCCAGTGAGGTTTAAATGGCCAGAGGTGGTGGTGAGAGCTTGGGGTGGAGCTGGACAAACCCCACTGTTTCATCTGTTGGGTAATGTTGCCCTCCTCTGATCTATGCTCAGATCTCAGGTTTTGGACATGGAGAATTCTTGGTCACAGTTGTATCTCAGTGTGCACACCGAGATTGCGTGACCCTTGGCCAGGTTAAACAAGGCCTTCCGCACCTCTGTTAAATGGCAGGAAGACTGATATTCTTCTCGGAGCGCAGAAGTGAGAAGTTACAAGTTTCCAGAAGACTGCATTGGGTTAAAGATTAGGTCACTTCCATCTGTTAAGGCAGCGTGGGAGCGGCAGAGCGGGTGGCGTGCGCGTCCGCAGACCGACTGGAGCCTTCTTCTCTCGCTGAGTGCTTGTGCTTGGAGCTGTACTTGGGTTTTCTCAGTCTAACTCTGTTCTCTGGGTCCTGCTGGTTCCTTATGCCCTAACACAGTGCCTCCTCCCGCTTGGCCTGTGCCTGACCGCTCAGCTGAGATGGGGTATTTTTTATAGCATTGCTACAATAAAACACGTGCACATGTGTGCCGTTTCTAACATGCTTTACTGAACTTGTGATTATAAAGGTAATTTACAATAAAGCAATTAAATAAACAATAAGTTAAAACACAATAAATTTTATACATAGTATTTCAAAGGGCTCGAAAGACTATCAGGTTCCAATACAGTAAGACTTTAAAACAACATTAAGATTCAAAGTGTAGCCACGTCTATACTTATCATTGTAACAAGTTTCAAGACTCCCAACAAGGTACATTTTTGGTTACAGTCCCCGTATACGCACAAGACCAGTGAAATGCTCGAGCAATTGTACGATTGAGAAGAGCACTACACGAGACAGGCACGAACGATGTGCTGGAAGCTGCCTGGGGTATATGAGTTTTACGTCTAAATTGAATTGACACTTTGGACAACAAATGGAAAGCGCTAGCATGCTTTCTGGAGCACGTGTGTGATACCCTTAGTGGGAACGAGTCTCCATGTTACTTACTTAACACTATAGTTTCACAAATGTTTTAGGTTACTGCTGCCTAAAAAAATACTCCACCTTTCTCTGGCCATTTGTTCCCATGTGCATCTCGTGCTACCCTTGAGCCACTCTGCAAAGCACTTGACCAGTGAACCAGCCAGGGAAAGTGACTGAGCTTAATGCTAACCCAGAACACGAAAGAGCACTAACTGTAATTCTTGATTTCCCTGGTCATTTTCACTGTGCAGATGCACTGGCACCAGAAAGACTCCAGCACAGGGGAAGGGGACAGTGCCTGGGAGCAGGAGGACTATTTCTGCAGGCAGCGGTACTGTTAAAAACACCAGTTAAAAACATCTTGTGGAACTACAGGGTTCAGCTTTTTTATTTTGAAACAAGGAACATGTTTTCGAACCTATTTATAGTGCAAATCAAATAGCCAAAAGCAAAATGATGGACTCTGCCAGAATATACAATAACTCTTAATGATCTATCTCATCTTTCTTTCTCTCTGCTTCAGCCAGTTGGTGCCCAGGGACAGAGTGGACTTTAGGTTTTGATATTGAAGGGTGTACGGCGTAAAGAGTGCAGGGCCACCAGGCAGCAACCACGAAGCAATGCCCCAATGTTGTAAACGGGATCTGTTCCTCCTCTCTGAGTACTGAAAACCCACATGATAGTTGGTACAACAGGGGCTGCTACAGCCAGAACATCTCTGAGGAGGCTGCTGCTCCAGTATCTCCTCTTTATTCCTGTCTGAGAGAAAGTATTGACGTACCCAAAGGCTTCATCATCATGAGGTTCTGTAAAATCAAGTTCTTTCATGAAACGGTTTTCATTAACTCTGTGCTCCACCTTCCTGCATGGAGACTCCATAGGAGACAAAAGGATGGCAGAGTTTGGATCACTTGGAGTTAAGTCCACTATGATACCAGAATCACTGAAGCTTCCAAGAGAAAATTCACCCAATTCCTTCAGTGAAGAAGGTGGGCTTAGAGGACAGGCATCTTGAGCTCTGAAGATGTTTTGAATGAGCTGCTCCACATCTAGGCTATATGGCACCACGTCAGTCTGGACAGCCTGTTCCACCATCATGTTGCTGCTTTCCTCCTCCTCTTGGGAAGAAGTTAGTTTTTCATCCAGACTATTTTCAAGCATCTCTTTATTCACAGCAGAACTGGAGGGAGCTAGATCACTCAACTCAGAGGTTGTGGTGGTCAAACTCTCTTCCGATGAATCAGTCCCATTAGCTGTGTCCTCATTAAGAAGCAGCCCACTATCTGCCACCTCCTCCAAAACTCGGTCCTCTGTGATGAGGCTGTCTGGCGTTGTGGCACACAACGCTAACGGCTTCCCCTCTGAGTCACTTGTGTACTCCAGGCTCTGCTCATCCCTCACAGAGCTGTTCTGAGCCAGCTCCATGCTCTGCAGCAAAGATTCCAGTTTTTTGTTTTGAATGTTTATGTCTACGAAGTATTTCTGAATTTTTTTGTCCTTCTCAGCCAAGCTGTTTTTCATGGTTTCAATAACCTGCTTGAGTTGTTTAATTTCGCTTCTTGCTTCCTTTAAGGCCAGCTCTGCCTCCACACGGTTACACTCTTCTTCAATCCAGTCTTCCCTCATCCGTCCCAGCTGAGCTTTGAGCTCTTCTATTTCTGTCTCCCTGTAGCAAAATAAAAATGTTGTAACACTTCCGCTGACTGGTCAGTTAAAGAGTCAATGTGAGGCTCTACCACACAGGATGGCTCTGCTGCCAGATGTCCTGAGACGGAAGCAAATTGCTCCGTGCACCATTTGCTGCCACCTCTGAGAGAGCTGGCAGGGTGTGAGCCGGCTGCCAAGACACGCGGGCTGATGGCTAACTGGAGTCACCGACCTCGCCGCACAGCCAGCAGCCTTGTGGGCTATGCCATGATCCTGGCCATTTAAGGCGCAAGTGGTGACCTCTAGGCTAGGTCCAACCAGTACAGCGCTTAACGTCTCACCTACCGCCTCGCCCTGGAGGAAAAGAGAAACAGCTGCCTGGACGCATCCCCCGTGCCTGCCAGCAGCTCGTCGGGAACAGCCAGAGCCAACACTGGCCTCAGAGAGCAGGTCGGCTCGGGGCTGCAGGCACCCGGCTTGCTTTGCCCAGCGTGGAGGCAGAGGCTGCTGCCTTGACTTGCAAGCAAGTGGGGAGAGGGAGCCCCTACGTGAGATCCAGCCCTCGCAGATGCAGAGGTCGGGCTATTCCAAGCTGGAGCACGGGGTCCCTGGGACTCTGCGTTGGGGCTCCGTTCAGACACCCCTTTGTGCCCGCTTGGGTTAAGCGTGCTGGAGAGCCAGCTCTCAGAGCGTGGTCTCAGTAAAAGAGATGACATCTGTTGCTGTGTAACACACATTGACGCTTCTTTGCTCAGCATCCATACAAAGGGCTATTGTGAAAAATTCAATATCTAAGCGACAAAAACACAAGTGGGCACACTGGTTTGTGTAAGAGCTTTTCTTTCATTAGGGGAGAAGGGGGACATTTGCAGTCATATTTCACTGGGTGAGGTAGAACAGGAGACTAAGGTAATACATGCTGGCAGATAGAAACTGTTTTATGTATACAAGGTCTCAGTGCTAAATCAGACTGGTAAAAAATTATCCTTTAAAAATATTCTACTGGGAAAGTTCAAAAAAGGGAAAAGAGACAGCCATATTCATAACTAAACTGCATGGTATGTATTCACGGACTATGCTATGAAACCTGAAATACCTGAAAACAACCTAATCAGACTGATCATATTTCAAATTTCTTAATGAACAATTTATGTGGTCAAGAAATGACTAAAAATATTCAGGATTCCCACCACTAAATGCTCCTGAATAAATCTTTCTAACTGATTTCTGTAGTGAAATATACCTTTCCTTAAGTTTGGTCTCAGATTCCTTCAGCTTTGTTTTCAAATGCCGTACTGTAACTTCTTTCTGCTGCAGAGGAGTCAAATACTGCTCTGGATTTTGTGGCTTAATGCTGTGATTATCACCACAAGAATTGTATCTCCCTGATCGCCTGAAAAGAAAAAAAAAGAAAAAATCACATAACATCACTCCTACAGTTCTTCAGTCCTAGCAAAAAGAAAAACATCCCATTGACTGATACAAAGCTGAGTCTACACTTGACTCACATGGGGGTCCTCAGTGTCTGCACAAGTGACTCCCTCTGGCAAATCAAAGTACTTGAGGAAACGGCTGATTTGTGGCTATAGTGCAAAATTTACTATTTACTGTACTTAGTTTAGGTGCCATTACATCAAATGAGACATTTAACTTTCAAATACCTAGCCATCCCCTCACTCGAAATAGGTGGCGTGCCCCAGAGCAGGCAGCCAGGCCACTGGCGAGGGCACACAGCTGTAGACATGGCCAGGTGAGGTCGTGTACGGACCGAGTTCAGCTCCATATGTGAGTTATGAAGCTGAGCAGCCTGAAACCTAGACTCATCCTATCTAGCTTTAGGTGTATATGTGACACGCTTGGCTGCGGAATTGCCTGAGAGAGAGAGAGAGAGGGAAACAGCAGCAGCGTGGTGGCAATTTCTTCTCTGCAATATGTGTCACATGCTCTGGCAGGTATCTCTTTTCTTTTCTGTACAGGAAACTGCACAGGGAGGTGCCTAAGGCTGGGTAGGGTGAATTTTTGCTCAAGTGTATAATGTTTTATATACTACCCCACCCAACTCTCTCCAAAGCAAAAAGACCCTTATACAAAAGAACCAGTAAATCCACATGAGAATTGATGGCATGAAACCACATGAAGGAGCCTGCCTTGGAGTGAAAACCAACTACAAAGGGCTTTCACTAAAAGTAACCTTGAATTTTACAGTGCTGAAACAATAAAGCTTTTACACGGGATGGAGCACTCTGTTGACTGTCAAGCCACCAACATGAGGAGTCACACCAATGCTGAGGAGCCAGGTGACCCGCTCGGCAACCCAGACAGCTGATCCTACGTTACAGTGCAGAGAAGGTAAGTCAGTGCGCTGAACACCAGGATGCCGAAATAAAGACTTGCCTCATCACTGGGCTGCTGTCGCTTCCTTTGTATGAGCCTGAGTTGCTGCTGCTGGCTGAAGAAGCCCTGTAACTCTGATGGATGCTAGCAGGACTCAGCTGGTTTTTGCACAGTGTTGACAACGGGTCCTTTTCACGGGAAGCAGGTGGGCTGGCTCCGGACTTGTAGGATAAGGATCCATTATTCCGACCATAAGGGCCACGACTGGAGGGGAACAAAAACGGTTAAAGCATATTGGATTATCCTCATCACGCAACCCATTATGCATCTTATTTTACACACAAAGTTGTCTAAACCCTAAACCAGACAGATAACTGTGAGTGGCCAGGAAGTAAGAAAGTCCTGAAGTCATCAGCCACTGCACATTCTTTCACTGCCTGGGGCTCTCAGTCTGAATTGCGTGATCTAGGGAAACCTCGACCATTTTGACACTTCTCTGTGGACAGCACGGTTCCCAGTGACTCCATCAGATCATCCACATTCCCTGAACCTCTGACTCCTTTAAGTAATGAGAGGACTGCAGCCTGGACTGGTGCCAAAAGAACCACGTTTCGGCTTTCCCCGGCCGGGCCTGCGGAGAGATGCCCAGCCCTGGAGGTTTGCTGTAATACTGCTTTCATGCTCCTCAGCAAGCAGCCTGAGGGATCACAGCGTGCAGTGAAAACAGATTTTGTTTGAGCCACTGTTCTTTTCTGCCTTTGGCATACTGGGTGCTGCAGCTGTCATTGTCAGCTATTCATTCGCTTAGATATAGTTTGAACCCCACTGAGAGCAGGCTGAAATACCATTAAAATAGACAAAGGAAAGCACAGCCTTTTCTTTCTTCTTTCCAGTTTCCCTCATACATATCTACTTTTCTCTTCCCACTTCTTATTAAACAAACTGTCAACTGTGTGTGCTTGAAAGCAATTCATATCTGCACTGCCCGACAGCGGCCAAAGGGCTGGGGCGCTCCGAGGACAGCTTCTCAAGGTGCGTTCCTTGCTCGCTCAGTTCTTTTGCCTTCCTGCACTACTACTATGCTGCTACCTTCATCCTCGCATGGAAGTTGTTCTTCTAAACTGTAATGAAAGGGCAAGTTTGAAAAAAATACGGAAAAAGGCAAATCCAGCCAGCAGAAGAGAAAGCTTGAACATAAAAATTTAAATACCACAGAATTATGAAGCAAAATCTCTTCTTAAAATTGTCTGACTTGGTTTCCTCCCTTCTCTGAAAATGGAACAGTTTATAAGGAACAGATGGTTGAGTGGCTGCTGCAAACCTTCATCACACTGCTGCGGTTTCGGTGATTTTATAATCATTTTACAATGAAGTACAGGACTGTGGTTTGTGACAACATTGAAATGTTTCATAGTGAGTTAAGTCAAACAGTTAAAAAAGAACATATTGCAAAGGAGACATCTCCTTCCGCTTTGTACAGTACAGTATCAACTCTAGTGTAAGGCAGAACTTGCACAGGCTGTGCATAACATAGCAATGCATTTGAAGGAGCCTTATTACAGAGGACTTCTGTCCAATAAAGTAGGTCAGTATGCTCTAATTTAAAGTTATGTTTTAAATGCACAATATTATATTAAACGATACATAATCTTACTGAAAGTAAGGTGATTTTAGGGATTCATATTATACTTAGTACTATTCTTTCCCCACAGCCAGTACCTTTACTTGCTAGATTTAATCTAGAGAGTGCTTAAGTAATGTTTATTTTTCTAACAGTCTCACAACACAGATAGGAAACCACTCATTAAGCATCATTCTGCTGATCTCCGTACTCTGGGGCACACTGCGACCTTGGAGATGTCTGTGTGACTTCAGCATACAGGTATCCCGCTGCTGGTCCCAGTCTGCCTGCCAGCTCTTCCACAACCAGTCCTGTCAACTTGAATTCCTTCCTCCTACTCCAAAAAATGTAACCAGCAGGGATTGTGTGGGCAGAGCACAACGCGCGCTGCTCCATCCCAACGCCCCTGAATTCGCAAGCTGTCTTGATCTTCACTTCACACATGATAGGGAGAAGTCGTACAGAAATCTTTCATGAAAGGTTCATTTAGATAGATGACTATGATGATTTTTTTTTTTATTTGCATATAGTTTTAGTTATATAAAGGCTAGGCAAGGGTGTTTAAGATAAAAGCGTCAAAGGCAATACTGTGTACTTCTTCCTACAAAAAATAAGGTCAGGATCTGGAAAGGTATATGCCGAGCTGATAATTTAATACAGAGAGAAAACGAAGTGATAAGACCAAAAGGGTACGGTTAACTGTCTAGAAGTACTGCTGTTAACTAACACACACTCAGTTGTTTCCTCCTCCACTCCAGCCAATGCCTTTTCTGTCTTACCTGATTGCATCTCCCATACTTGTCATGAATAAACAACAAAAAAATACCAGTCAGCTGATCTGGCGTATTGACAATTTTTGTGCTCCAAATACAGCATTTTTTTTTCTTTCTCATATCACAGTTCTCATCAGTGTAAGTGCTGCCTGAGAGAACAGTGTTACCCAAAATGTTTTAAAACTCACAATACTGGTATTGTATGTATTAACTGCAAGACCTTACACAGCAGTCTATCTTTGCACTAGCAACACTTGCAATATTCAGGAAAAATTGCTTTGCTTACTTGCGAGAAAAAGAAGATCTTTTGCTTCCAGCAGCAGACATATGGACTTCAGGCGCTGAAATACTGCCTGTGCTGCTTGAAGAGCTAAAATCAGCTTCACTCCCTGGAAAGGAAAAGGGAAGAGTGAAAACATGATGGAAATTATAACTCAAAGACTGTTTTCAAAATAACAATGAATCACAAGCATCCTTCCTTTGTCCGTCCTGTGTGAATGTCAGAAGTTGCATAAATTTTCAAACATCCCTGAGGACAAGCGCTGGATTTTTTCCAGATTTTCAACATTTCTTCAGAACTGGCACTTCAACAAGAGCAGAAAAAACATTTGGACACAAAACCCTTAGGCTACAGAAGCCATTTTAGGACTCGGCTAGGAACATTCGTTTTGACAACCTGTTTGCTTTCTCACAACCATCAATAGATGAATGAGGCTGCTCAGGAGGCTCCTTCAGAAGCACAGTGATTAGGAGCCCACAACTGTAACTGGAGATTTCTCTTGCTTTAAATCATACAAAAATACTACTTGCTGGGAGGACAGCTGCTTCTGTTTTGGTTTCTGAGATGATATACACATATATGTATATATGTATAAATGTGTACAGGCTAACAGGGTATATGCATATATCTATGTACACATGTATGCAGGTTTTCATGTGGCACTGAAGCATAGTAAGGCAGTTCTAATAGCCTTAAAATAATCCAATAATTATGTGTGGCTCTCAAGTGCTTCTTGGGTGCTAAGCCATCTATCTGATTACTGACTTTCTATCGATAACAGCTTTTATTTCCCAAGCTCTGGCATATAAAAGGAAAACTGCTCTCATTTTGCTAGGGCCAGTACTAGGTAGGTGTACTAAGAAAGTCTTATCATGGCAAGAAAACCACCCTAAAGTTAGGATTTTTTTCAGTCTGTCACTCAAATGGCAAATGTCCCAAGCCATATCCAGGTCCTATGCTGCAGAGCCACAATAATGGTTGATGACTTTATCTGAGGGGTGGAAATAACTTTCCAACATCCTTTAAGCAGCCGATCAGGGGGAGCTTCTCTCACCTGAGAACTTCTGGGTGCCGTCCCACACACAGACACCCCTGGCCAGCAGCTGCAGACTTACCACAAATCCCATTTTTGCTATCTTTTCCACGAGGGGGAGATGCAGCTGCAGCTACCATCATCCCTGCCGGGGCAGATAAACCTTCAAGTGCTTATTCCCTCTTAAATCCTTCGCAGAGCTGATGGGGATGGGCACATCTTGCACCCCTGAATACCTGGGACTGGGAAAAGGCCTTGTCAGAGCCTGTCTTCACAGCCTTAAAGAGGATGAGACATCCAGCAACCATCCTTACCATCCGGCAACTCTTAGCAACCGGTCTTAGGGTCAGGCGTGTTCGGATTTAACCCAATACTTTCACAACCACACCAGGTCTGAGACCAGCACCTCTTTCTCTGTGCCTCTGGTTCAGCCCAGCCCAGCCTATTCCTCAGCCCAATTTCAAAGTGCTCAAATGCAAAGCTTAGCTCTTCAAAAGGGTTATCCCAGGGACCCAGCTTTATCACCTCTAACCAACTCCATACCCTGTACAACACCCCTGATAATCAGACCCCAGTCACCAGAGCTGTAACCAGATCAGAACTGCGTGCAAGTTTGCAAGGGGAGGGAGGGAGAGCAGCAAAGTCACTTTGTTTCACAGAATATTTATATCATGTGTACAGATGTAGATGTCAGTGACCCTCTCCGTGGGGAAGCAAAATGACTGTGGGACATGATGTCCAAAGCTGCAAGAGAGTTTTCCTGATAAACAAAACATTCCCATCTGTAAGACTAAAGTAGACTCCAAATACTGCCTCGGTACCACACTACTCCCAAATCTACTTTTCCAAACAAGACCCAAATAGGTAAACGCGTTGCACGGATGTCATACCTCCAGTGTTCGGGCCCCCGAAACATTCCTGCCCTTGCAAGACACCAGCAGCTTCCCAAAGCCGAGTCCTGGCTGAGGCACAGAGAGCAGGAGCCCTAGCTGAGGCTCATCTCTCGTTAAGTAGACCACATCATAATCAGATCTTGCTATCGAAAGCATTTCAAGGAAGCAAAGCTTAATAATCGTCTCTCCCTGACCCGCCTGGCTTGGAGCGCAGCGCTGGGAAGGGCTGCCAAGCTAGGCACTGCCGGTAAGAGTCAGCAGAACCTGAAGACGCAACCACCTCGACGGCTGAGCTTCCTGAAAGACTGAACTGCATCTGAGACCAAGAACTATGTCTGCGAAGCATGAAGTAACCTTTCTGGCCCCAATTCTGATAACAGCTACACACAAGCTTACCACTGAGCACAGGAGACTACTTATGTTTAAAATTAGGCATGCGCTATTTATAGGATCTTTGAGAACATTTTATAAATTAAAGGGGTCACTGCTAGTAATGGTTCCAAGTGTGTTAGTGATGTTCAAGCCAGCTTTGCATTTAGCAGAGCTCAGCAGCGATGTTACTAGGAGACTTTGAAAAATATTTTCTTCCATTTGGTAGACATCTCTAAGCAAAACAACATGGCATCTATCCATATAATATTGATTGCAACATATTCTCCTGGGTAAGTGTGACTTCTATCTTACAAATGTCTTAACAAAGAGATGAAACTCCTTGCCTAGCAGCAATGTGGGCAGGAGCCTCTCATCTCTCCGAATGCCATTCCCCAGGCTGACAACTCCCTAAGGACGCCTGTTGACTATGTTTGTTGCTGTGACAATGTGACTGCAAAAACTCACACATGTAAGCCCCAGAACAGCCCGCCGATTCAGCGTTAACCATGAAAGAGGTTGACATTTCTCAAAAACATATGTGCTTAGTTGCTGGCTGGAGTTAAACCACAACACATATTCTTTTGTCCTAAGTGGCTATAACACTTCTTTTGCCCTGATCAGAGACTTCCTTGTTAAGAGGACTGTCTCACCTACCCTTTCTGGTAAAAGATGCTGCACATTGAGCTGCTGACTTCAGCAGTATCTCATTTGAAATTCATTCATACATATCCTTCCATGCTGCAGCCACTCAGTGCCACAGCACTAACAGCCTGCCGGCAGGCGAGCCAACTCGCAAATATGCTGTGATGGAAATGCTCGTGCTGCACGTATGGCATGCGATGCTGGGAAGCCCATTGCTCCAGCCTCCCTCCGCCTCCAAGCAGCAGCACACCCACGCCATGGGAGTGGAGCTGTGTACTGCTCTGTGCAATGGGAAGAAAAACACAAGGACGGCCAACAAAGTCCTGTAACATTTTCCAGGATTGCTCCTTGCCTGGAACGGGTATCTGAGAAGCTGGAGTGAAATAGTGCAGCATCTAGCACCATCCCTGCTCTTTACTGCTCGATGGGCAAGAGCGCCAAGCTAAGAGTGTGCTGCAGACAGCATTGTGCTTTGTGCTGCCTTTTAGCCTTTGTGCTGCCCTGACAGCACCGTGACAGTCACCTAGCTCCAGCTGACACGGAGGGGAGGAGAAGGGAGCCTGCAACCCCACGACTGCGTGCCGTACTGTCCACAATGAGGAGCGCAGGCAGCGCTGGCAGGCACAACCCAGCAGAGGCAAAGCCAGAGAAGGTGGTGACTGTCTGTCAGATGTGTGGTTGGGGACCACTGCTCAGGGGGCTAACGCCGTTCTGCCGCAGCACTGCTATCGACTAGGCAACCTCCCACTAATGACTCAGGGCAAATTTTCCCATCCTGCATCATGTGATGCAAGTACAAACTTCGGGGCAGGATTGAGGAGAGGGAGAAAGAGCTGCCTGTGCAAGGGCAGGTACGCCTCCAGCTGGCACCGGTGCATGTTTATCCCACTCATGCAGTGCAGCCATTGCGCCCACAATTTGGGTATAGAAAAGCCCCACCTCGAACTCTGCTCTCTTCACTGCCTCAGCCATAGTGCAAGGATAAAGACACAGTACAGCCGGCATATCACATATTGCATTCACAGTTTTTACAGGTACAACAGATTACGTATAGTTGGCCTACTGCGACAGTATGCAAGCACAGAAATACCACGTCAGGTATGTATGTATGCATATAGAGACAGTATATACATTTCTTACAGAGTCACACAATAACCCCACATGCACACCTGGAGTATGGCATCCCAGTCTGCTATTTCTAGCCATTACAGATGGTTGGATACCTTGTTGTATGGTCTTCTGGCCTTCATATTAAAATTTTGCTTGCACTTCAGCAGTTCAATCTTTCTCCTTCTATAAGAATAAAGCTCAAACTTTCTTCTGTGCATTTTATTGTCCATTTGCTATCTAAATAGTAAGATTAAAATATGGTAAAGAGGAAAAAGTTCAAGTGATATCTGTGACAGGAACATTTGACAGCTGAGCAGCAGAACTGGATTCCCGAAACTCAGGATACACATGAGCTTATTAAAATTTAGTCTTTTTGTGCAAGTCCTTCCTGTTTGCAACTGCACCACTGTTTCATAGCTGCCAAAGTATAAAAACCACAGAGCTTACCTATCTTCTGACTCCATGAACATGACCTCTTTATATATATATATATATATATCAGTCTTGATGCTAGGTTTTGCATATAGTCACCCAGTGAAAGAGAGCTGTAAATAAAACAGTGCTGACAGAGACAGCTTGTCCTCAGAATGTAAAGCCCTTAAATTTGCTGAGCTTCCTTGCCTTCAAAAGCATCCTGTTATACAGCAAAGAGACCAAAATATGCATATATGTTCACCACTCTGGTGCAGCAACTAGAGGGATAAGTGGCACACTGTCTCTGTAGGTAGCTTTATTTAGAGACCCCAGGGGAAGAGATATGGCCTGACTGCATAAAAAATTCCAGCAAAGTCATTAGAAGCAGCTGGAAAAGTAGAGAGAATTTATTTGCAATGCCCACTATTGAAAGGACCTGTATTTTTAAGAGATTTGATTTCATTTATCTTGAAATCTTTAACTTACAGCTAAATCTCTAGTTCCAATCTTTAACAGCATAAGCAGTATATTTCCAGGAAACACTAATGCTGCTTCTTTTCTATTTAATATGGGGTTGTTCCTGCAAGATTGTTTTTGTACACCACAAGCAATCTAGGAAAGAAAACCACACTGCTCACATGCACT